GATAGATAGATAGATAGATAGATAGATAGATAGATAGATAGATAGATAGATAGATAGATAGATAGATAGATAGATAGATAGATAGATAGATAAGTGTACTCAATAGTGTGGCACATATGTCAGCAAATGAAAAGGAGAGCAAAGCTGAAGATTTTTTTTTCACTTGGAAATAAAAAAAATGGTTTAATCAGTTTTTCGCATGTAGAAACTTCTTAGATGACTGAAAGTGACACATGGCTCTAAATGTCCCCAAACAGTGGTCCATTATCATAGAACAATGACCAACAAACATGCATAAAAGATTTAATAATGTCTTAAAACATCCAGAGGTTAGACATTACACCATATGTACTCAGTTTAGTCTGCTCCTATTTTAAAGAAAATATCAATGTGCATTTGCTAATAGTTGTTTTTGTTGTTTCTGAGAAGATTGGTGATATGTGCTTTGTGTTGCCAAAGTACTGACTTTTCATTTAGTCCCAAAGTTAGCAAGTGGCCCATAAGCAGCCTAGGAATCTGCTGCTGTCCACTTTGCTGGGACAAGTGACAGGGGCTCACTCCATCGCGTGGATTCGATCTTATAGCTGCAGGTCTTCTGACCTTGCAGCACAGAGGCTTCAGCGGTTTAACCTACAGTGCCACCACAATTAGCCAGCATCTAATTGTGATAAAGTGAAGCCCTGCCAATACTACTATATCTTCGGTTGAAACAAAGAAGCAATCATAATTTTAAAGGAAGTTTATTAGGTTTCTGTTCAATTTTCCAACTCTGATTGTTCATAGAAGTGTTGCAGATAAGAAATGATTCAAAGTGAACTCATGGAAATGCACATATCTCTTGCTCTGATTTCATTTATTTTGTAATCTAGAGAGAGAGAAAAACAGAGGAAGAGGGAGATCCTATAGAAGCTTTTCTCTCCTCTAGCAGTGAATTAAATCCCTTTCCAGAAATTCCATTGTCAACCAAGAATTCTGGAAAGCAAAGTGATAAGCCAGTCTATCATTGCTTTTCAGTAAAGGGATCCCCAAGCATCATATACAAGCTTCTCATGCATCAGTCATCTTTTGTTCATTCTAATGATCCTGTCAGAATGAGATACCAGCTCTAATGAGAGGCTCTGCTACAGACAAAGCCTCTTACTTCTATGAGTTGATCAGATTTCAGCTGATATTTTACAAAGTGCCTTGGTTCAAAAGCAAGCAGTTGCAGGTTCCCCCAGCCCAACCCCATATTTTCTTTGGAAGTGATGTGTTTCCTATTGTTAATTGCTTGTTATTTGACTTGGTCGAATCAACCACAATGGAATCACCAAGAACAAAGGCACTGGGACTTCAGCTGCCATGCAAGAGGGCACTGAGATCTGAGGTACGGTTAACATCAAGGGATAGCTAGAAAGCTCCGGCGATACCTCCTTGCGCTACAGTAGAACTGTTCTGGGAATGGTTTAGTTTGAAAATATGTGGTAGAATCTGATCTTCTAGAGTGAAAGCCTTCTGAACCAATGCTCTTTCAATGTGAGCTTTTTAAATCTGTAAATGACAGGAGATCATTACAACACGAGGGCTATTTTCATCCTCATCTAGCAAAGGATATCTACGTACAAGCGTTGATGTAGATGGTCTATTCTATAATGCAGTGATTGTCTTGACTCATTAAAAGTGATGGAGCCATCTCAGAATGCATGTCCTGTCTAAGGGCAGCCTCTGGGGCTATGGGTACAATTCTGCACTCATTTACCTCTCACTAAGACTGCACCGGAGACAGGATTACATCTGAGTAATAATGTGCAGGGCTAGGCAGCTTGCTTAAGGCCACACACATGGCAGGCAACCCATCAGCCATGCACATTCCAGGTGATCTCATCTGTCCCATCCCCCATGTCCTGGGAGGTACAGTGGGCATTTGAACATCCAACCCTTGGCTCCACAGCCATGTGCTCCAACCCATTGACCTATAGCAACTGTAATTTAAAATTCACAGCAACCATACATTCAGTAAATATATTAAGAAAGACAAAAAAGCAGAAGCTTCTGATGATTTGTGTTCCTCCTCTTTGTTAGCCATTCCTTTTTTCTGCTTAGCATGTACTGTAGCTAAGCTCCCAAACATTTATGGAAGATAACAATGAAACTTGATTTTTCTGGAAGCTAAGTAAGATGCATAATATTAGAGTTTCGAAAAGTCCTTTTTATGGACTACTGATGCCATAGTCTTCCAGTGATCATTCACTCATATATTCAGTGCTTTCTGTGCAGTATTTATAGGCAGCTGTGTAAACACACTTCAGTTGCGTGTAAACCACCCAGGGCCATGCTTTCCCAAAAGTGCTGCACAAAAAGCTGGGTACATTTTGTATTAGTTTATTTAAACCTCTGTGAGATCTGGTCAAACCATGGCCTCATTAATTGGCCATGTACAATGGGGACCTATTCTCTAAGAATTTCTAAAAGTTGTTTTAGAACCATTGAAACTTTTTGCACACAGTCTATACTGTCTTTATCTCCAACATTTTTACATTTTCTATTTCGATCCTAACTAATATGTATGAATGATCACAACATGTACGAAATATCACTGTATATTAGACAAGACCACTAGTGCACAGGGATTCCTTTTAACTTTGTGTTTTTTTAAGGGCAAATGGCCAGCTGCAATTCTTACCAAACTGGACATTTCCAAACCTAACATAAAAAACAAAGTTCAGTTCTGTCCATATCAACAGAGGTGTAAGCCCATGTACTGCCATTCCCAGACTGCAAAGCATGGCACAATTGTGTGCAATCGATTGACAGATGAGGAAGCATAGCTGAGCTGCATACAAGAGCTCTCCATGCTACAGAGCACTGCCCATTTGTGCACAAGAGCTTCTAAGCAGCCGACCACAGCCAAAATTTTGCACCACACATTCCTTGGCTGCAAAATTGAATACAACTCTCAGGATTAAACCTTAGATCTATTTGCAAAGCATTGCTCACTCTACTGCTGATATACTGTCCATAACTTAGTTAAGATATGCAGAATTGTATCTACTACTCCCATTCAAGCTATGTTTTCCAGCCGTGCCACTGTGAATGCATTCCTGTAAAAATCTGTAAAAGTGATGCTTCTTTTTTTTAAAGCCATAGAGCACTCATTGTGGAAACTATTTTGAAAATGAATAAAAATCTACTTTTGCTGTCCATTTGACTTGTATACTTGAGTATGTGTCTATGTATGCAGTTATAATCCCAGAGGCACATTATCTTGTGGTCCTGCTGCTGAGATAACAGCAAGGTGTTCAGAACTGCTGAATGGGAAAACAGCTTGATTGTTGTCTGTTGTGTGTCTTCCATCCCACCCTCTCCACTCACACTCTGCTATTTTATTACTTTCCAGGGGAATGTGACTTTTGCCTGTGCAGAACCACCAATCACTCCCATCACCTTTGACAACTCCAACAGCAGTTACTTGCTGTTACCAGGCACTCCCCAGCTTGATGGCCTATCAGTCAGTTTCCAGTTTCGTACATGGAATAAGGATGGTCTCCTCCTGTCTACTGAGCTGTCTGAAGATTCTGGCTTGCTCCTTTTATACCTCCAGTATGGAAAGTTGGCCCTTTTCATCCAGAAAGCATCAGAGAAATATGTGACCATCACTGCAGGTACTTCATGTCTGCACCCCTGCAGCCCTTTTATTTCCCCTCCCTTGTCCCTAGAATTGTAAAACAGTGATATGAACCTTCACACCTCATTTGTTTTGACAAACAATTGTTACTTTAATTAGTGTCAATTTGGGGGGGAGCAGGATGCAAGCCAAAGAAATAAAATAAAGGTAGTCTGGTAAATCGAGCTGGGGGAAAGATAACAATGTGCTACTTTGTGGTCAATGGCTTGATATTAGCCTGAAGGTCATTTGATACAATTCAAAAGACAAGTTGTAACAAATAACACAGTAAACTGTTGCATTCCAAAGGAGCATCCATGTCATTCTGACACAGCAAAAAAAAAATCCACCTCTAAAATTCTATGGCACCTTAACAGCTACACCTTGCAAAGACCTAGAGGGGCAATCCAAATTCAAAGGTACACGGGCTATAGTGGGTTTGGAATGGACACAAGTCCCTTATACTGCTAGAAGCCTCTTGTGCTGGCTGATCTTGGAATTGCCTTCAGGTAGCCCTCAGCTGTCTTCTTTAGTAAGGACTGTGCTCTCAGCTGCATTAAATACATAATTACTACAACAAAACTGGTCTTCAGTGTGTGAATGATTTTTTTTAAATGAAAGAATCCTAAGTAGAGCTGAGCTAAAATGTCTTCAGTTTTGTTTCTGCTTTCCTCACATTTCAAAAGAAGCTCTAGTGTTTTTCTCTGCCCCATAACAGTTCTTAGATTTGTCCCCAGCTTGGCCTTGACTCTTGCATCCTCCATGGGTGGCTGAAGGCCTACGTTTTTAGCTTGACTGGATGATGAAAATATTCCTAACTTGTTCACACAAGCTCAGGGATTGTGATTTCCTTGGTTCTAAGGCTCTCTAAAGGGACCGTTGACTAATTAGTCTGTAGTGATGTAAGGAGAATGAGCCATGAACTCTTTGGAAGCCACATATGACGGGTGTATGTCTGGAGGCATTCAAGAGAAAAGTGGACAGCCATCTGTGAGATCTGCTTTGGATTACTGCATTGAGTTGGAGGTTGGACTCAATGGCCTTATGATGCTCCTTCCAGCTATTCTATGATTCTATGAAGGGTAGGTCAGAACCAAAGGTTAAACCAGGAGGCAGAAGTCAGAAGTCAAAGGCACACCAGAAGGGATGGTTAAAGAGTAAGTCAGAAGTAAGGACCAAGGGTCACATCCAAGGATCAGATATACCAGAGCTTAGAAAAACCTTCTGCCAGCAAATGTAATGGTCACAGAAGCCCTTGGGTACTCCAAACTCTCAGCACTCTTATTTTGATCTGCAAGGTTCAAATCTTGGTCTTGGATCTGCAGAGCACAAATGGGTAACCATATTGATTTATTATTTTATTTGTTTATTTAATTAGTGCAAAGCACTATTTTGGGTGGTTTAGAATATCAATGTGAAATAAAACACAATCAAAAATAGTCTAGTCATCAATGAAAACAGTCAACCATTTAAACACATCCAAGAGGCATAATTTCCAAATAAAAGCAGAGCAGGAGGCATAAAAGTCAAGCAGAGTTGTGTTACAAACAACATGTTCTTCTTTGTTCTCTGTCACTCATCCAGCTATTCTCTAATAGCACAATAAATGCCTGATGGTTGGCTGACGGAAAGGTGGAAGGTGCTTGTGTGGATTTCCTATGCACAGATTTTCACTTCCGGATTCCTGGTCCAAGGAGATAACTTCCTTCCTGGTCCAAGGAGTTAACTTCCTTTTTATTTTTGGGTTGGTCTGACAAGTTTATCTTTTTCAGGAGAGAAAATAATCCCTGAATCCATTTCAAATTCTCACTGTCAGCAAGCATTAGCTGCCTCCTGACACCACTATTTTTTTAAAAAAATGATTTCATTGGGATGTGGCCCTCTGAACGAAAGGACTGCATGCACAGATTCTGTGATGCCTGCATATTACATCACGTTCTGTTTGATACTTGTTGCAGTTATGGAAGGAAAAATTTTTTGTTGAACTCAACAAGGCCTGTCGCAAGGGGGGAATTCACTGTGGTTTTGGTTCTCCAAGCTAGCCAGGAGGAGTCAATAGCCAATCTAGGTGGGTGGAGTCACTTCAGAAAGGGGTTGAGGATACTAAACTGTCTGGGCAATGTTAAAACATGATGTACAGGGGTTCACCAGATGAAACAGGCATCAGTAAACTCAATGGTTGCAAGTTTGAGCCACAGCAACTAGTGGGCTCATTTGTAGGGTCCGTATTTCCTTGATTGATCTGTGATGAGCTCCATCTGAGAAATACATGTGAATTTCCTGGAATTGATTTTTAAAAGGGCCCTTCTTCTTCAAACGTACAAATGTGGACAAAACACTGAAATGCAGAAAGGCATGTCTCAGCTCTAATCCTAAACTTGGAAATAATGTCAGCTGGGAACCATTTGCTTTTTTAGAAAGTGTACTAGCTAGAATATGGTTGGAAAATAGATCAGATGCCTTCTAAAACACAGATGCTATGAAAGTTCTTGATGTTCACAATTCAAAGCGAAATCCACCCACTCCCAACCTTTAAACCTGCCATGTGATCCTCAGAATTGGATAGCTCTGTGTGATATCAGATGTCTGTGGGTGATGAGAATATATGTCCAATAAGCATAGCATGTAAAATGATTTTGTAAGAAGAGATATCAGTATATGATTATTCTTCTTGACTATGAGGGGGAAAGTATTCTTCCATTCCATGGTGATAGGAAGGGAGAACACAGCATTTTCAGTGGCTGGAATCCAGTAGCAAGTAACAACTAGGTCCACTAAATCAACTGAGGAGTTGACTCACCTGATTCAGTGGGTCTATTATCGTTGTGACTTACTGCTGGATTGCAACCGTCATCTCTAAAGAAAATATCCTAAACAAAAGGGCTCCTTATTCCATTTAGCGGTGATGGGAACGTATTGAGGAGAAATTCAGATCAGTTAAATTAAAAAACAAACAAACAGAATTTACTTCAATTCACAATTCACAGATTTCTTCATATTTTCGATGGAAAATATTTGAGTGTTTTTTGTTTTTGTTTTTAAAGAGAAACCCAGCTGACAAATCTGCCTATTCAGACTCAAGATTTTGAGTGGTTAACTCTTTAAAAAACTGACTTTCAATCTTTTTATGTACACTCAGACATGTTAGTTCAGAGTTAGGGTTGCCACCTCTTTTATTTCTGACTGTCTCTCCATTTTTACAACTTGCATGACAAGCAGATCCAACACGGAGTTCTCCATGCTTAGAGTAACTTGATTTGAGCACTGTAAATGTGGGAGGGAGGCCATTTCATGTAAATGTGTTTTTTGAAAACGTCATTAAAATTTACAGCTTTCTTTATATTCCAAATAGGTTTGAGAATTTAAAAAAAAAAGAATTTAAGATAAAGTGAAATCAACTTTTTTTTAACCCATGCTAGTACTGATAGGGAACAGAGGAATACATGTGTATCTATCCTCTCCATTGAACCGAATGGGGAAGGTACAGGCACATACATCAGGTCCATGTGAACATGGGAAGTACACTCATGGGACCAACTGTTCATCAGTTTAAAATTGTTTATCCCTGTTGCGTTTTTGTCCCTTTGGCATCACCTGCCTGGTAGTTTTGTTATTTTCCCCTAAGCACAATAATTATTCACAAGCCTCTCCTCCTCCTTTTCTTCCATCTCATCCCCTGTGATTGGTTCATCTGTTTTGCACTCTCTGCTTGTTTCCCAGGGAACAATCTCTATGATGGCCTGTGGCACTCAGTCAACATCAATGCCAGAAGACATCGCATCACCCTAACTCTAGATAATGATGTCGCATCTGCTGTTCATGCAACCACTGTTTCACAGATTTATTCAGGGCACAGCTACTATTTTGGAGGTATGTTTGTTTCCACTGCAATAACCATGGTTAAGGAAAACAAATCTCTCAGATTCTGTTTTTGTTGATATGTGTGTGTGTGTGTGTGTGTGTGTGTGTGTGTGTGTGTGTGTTTTAAATAACTACTGTCATTTTTGTTTCATGCATTCTGTTTGTGAGTATTTATATCACATTGCCTCCTGAAAGACTGAGAACCAAAATGCCCAAGGGTTTAGCTGCCAAAGGATATGAAGAAAGAAAGAACTGCAATACGTGGAGAAATTAAAAGGTCTCCCTCCCACTATTATAAAAACATGTCTATTTTATAAACAGCTTGGCAAACTTAAAAATCAATGTAATGGCAGAATAGTTGGGAGAAGACTGAGAATAATGGTGTAATGCAGGAGATAGTAAGCAAAATGTAGTTGAGGGTCACCTTCATGCACCTCAAGCTCCCTTGGGCTAGATAGCATTGATGGTATGTCCACAGACCTCATGACGTCATCAGATCCCCAGGCACTGCTTGGAGCATTTTCACTTTACTTTTTGGGCATAAACTGGGTTTCACTCCCCCTTCTTCTCTTGGTGGACAAGAGTGTTGAAGAAAGAAAAGCTCTCAGGCAATGCATCCTGGTATCTGGAACAGCCAGCTGAGAATACTTCTCCATTCGAGTCTTCACCAGCATTCCCAAAGGATACCTGGAAGCATCGGCTGAGAAACAGCAGAATTATTCTACCTCCTCTTTCTCACAAGAGAGTAGTGAAGAAAAACGGACCCATTGTCACTTGATTTTTCAGAAGAGCTGGATAAGTTCTGGACCTGTTGATATTAGCATAAGGACTTCTTGCTGTCTCTAATACCTAGGACTATCCTGCAAGTTCAAGGGAACCATTGCTTTATTAGGGACCCCTTTCTATATATAGAAAGGGGTCATTAAGGGTCCTTTGTTGGGCTGGTGGACCATGCTAGACCATGGGTTGCAGATTCTCCTCCCAAGGAGAGTGAATTATATATTTTCACGTCAAGCATATATTTATAGAAAACTTGGCCTATTCGGATCCAACTGAAATCAGTGGTAGGAGAAGCCAACTGTGTATGCTTATTTCTTTTAGTGAGATTCAGTTGTACTAAACTTTTATTGATAGCTCATCAAAGATTTTCTATAAAACGGATGGGGCATATATGCCTGGGTTGAGTGATTGGCCTTCCAAGGAGCACTGGAATTCGTGGAGTCCTTGGTCCAATTCATTCCATGAAACCATTGAGCAAAGGTGACTTTGAAGAGGCCTAATATGGGCTTTTAAGGGTTTTACTGCCACAGTGTTCTTGGCACAGCGTATCTTGAGGGACTCCTTGCTTTGAAATGAGCTTTGAAAAATAACCTTTCTTGACTTCCAGACTTCTTCACCTAGTGTGTCCATTTTACATGGTGGCTGAGAATGTCTTAGAGTTATATTTTTTTAAAAAAAGAGGTGGGTTTTTTTTTTTTGCAAGACAAAGATAGGAAAGGGAAGGAAGGAAGGAAGGAAGAAAACAAAGAAACCTCTATTCTGTCTCTCTAACCCTTCTTCTCCTTGCCCAGATTCTGAGCAGGTCCCTGCTTGCTGTTATTATATGTTTTTTTAAAAAAAAAAAAAAACAATACAGCTTCTATTAGTTTTAAAAATAATTTCAGGAACAAACTATTATTGTTATGTGTCATACAGTTGTCAGCAGCTCATGGCAACCCTGAGTAATAATGGCCTCCAAAATGTCCTGTTTTCAACAACCCTGCTCAGCTGTTGCAAAGTCAAGATAGTGGCTTCCTTGATGGAGTCAATTTATCTTATATTTTGCCTTCCTTTTTTCCATACTACCTTCAGATTTTCCTAGCATTATCGTTTACTATGATGATCTAACTACACATAACTATAAGCACGCAATTAGCAACTGTGTGTTTATTTGATACCTTCTAAGTGCCAGCCATGAGTAAAGATCTCCTGGGATCAAAATTCTAGAATAACAGGACGGGTGATATAAATTGTTGAGTTTATAGTATCTTTATTCATGGCAGTAATAGCTATGAAGTGGCTTGGACAGGAATGATGATTTGGAAAGAAAGTAGTGTTCTTTCTCTCTCACTCTCTCTGCTATACTAATTCTGATCATTCTTCCTTCCTATACTATGCACATATTCCTAGATATGAAAAAGAATCTGTTTAGTTCATACAGTATTTCCCTATGGAGATGCCCATTCATTGCAATGTGAGACTAATTGTGAAAACAGAGCACATTTCACTATAAACTTTTCAGTCCTTTATCTCAACATCCTTGTCTTTCAAAGGGAAAAGGAGCCATACATTTGAAAGTTGTCTTCAAGCATGTTTTTGTTGGTGGTAAAGCATGAATAAAAATGTGTGTATAAGAACACTCTCATAAAAATATGCTCAAAAATATGTGTGAATTTCCCTGTTGGCGTGAGGAGGAGAAGTCTTTCAATCTGATATAGAACCAGAATAAAATGAAAGTTGAATTCTGTCATGCCCCACCAGGGCAGGTTCCTAGTGAGGTCAACCCAGGGGCGCTGAAACTGTCTCTTGGGATAAACCTGGTAGCAGAAATGTACTTGATGAAAATGTCCATACTTATTTCATTTCAGGTTCTTTTGAGGGGTGCCTCTTTCATTTTTTTTTCTTCATACATCAGACCTTTTGTTTTACCTGAAAGGGAATGACCTGTCTATGTTCTTTAATTCTGGGTTACACAGTGGTGTTTCTAGCATTCCAAAAGCCCTAAAGAACCCTTAAAAACTACTCCAAAAATGCAGAGGCAAGGCAAGTGACTCAATCTGCTCCAAAAACATGCAACAGTATTCACACACACAAAAAAAATCATCAACAGTAAATCAGCCAAATAGCACACATGCACACACAGAGACACACAGGAAAAATTTCCTTCTTCATTAAAACATGAAAAACCTGCCTAGTCCTGCTGATTCTGGACTGTCAGGGGCCTGGAAGACAGAGAGTGCTGCTGACTGAGGTTTGGAGTGTGAGTCCCACCAAGAGGATAGACCTCCAACTAAATCTATGAGAGCAGCTCAGGCTGAAGATAGAAGCTCTGAGGGAAGCTATGGGACTACAGGGAAATGGTCCCTCAGAGAAAGAGCCTCCTCACGAGTGATCAGTCTCCTTGGGGGGCGGGGGGGAACTCTTGACTTGGGTTGCTACTGATTATGACTTCGGTCGTTTTGGCTTCTGGTGGCAGAGTTGAAAGAGGCAGAATAGCTGACAGGAAAAATCTGTCAGTTTTTTTCTCTCCCACATTCAAAAAAATGTAAACCTTAAATTCTTTCTGTCTTGTATATGAACAAATGGGTGTGTGGTTTGTTTATTTTTGTGTTTGCTTTTAATTTTGAGAATTGAGTGATGAGCTGAAACCAAATTATTACCTAATTACATGGGACAAATTTAATAAGCACATCTCTTTCCAGCTTGGACAGAGTCCATGTTGTACTACTCATATATGTCTGTTGTATAGGCCTTAAAAATGAATCTGGGTTCATTATGTTCTGTCAACTCCTGCAACGTCGCTGGAACCAGTTGTATTGGCTCTTGCCTTTCCATTGGACTATTTCAGTGACGTGGAGAGGGGGGATTTGCTGCTTGGGTAACAGCCTATCTTCCATATTATTTTACCCAGGCTTCGTGCCCTGGAGAGGACACTCCAGCTTCACGTACAGAGGCAAAAGACTAGACCCTGTTCCAAGTCCTCCATACAGAGCACGTTACCATAGTCTCTCGAGACTGAAGGATGCCTATTAAGGGGGGGGAGGGAGAGATGACAAACCTAAGTCAGCATTGCCTGAATACAGAAAAATGCAAATCAAGACTTTAAAATATCAAGCATTCAAAGCTCTTCATCAGGATGGATGAATCTCTCGGTTTTTGACACTCTCAAAATCAGATTTCAACTTCTATTCCAGCTGAATATGGAGAAATTTGTGAATCTTGGCAAATCCCTGACAAATTGATTTCAGAAGGAGGTGCTCAAATGCCTTACCCCTGAATACAGGAGTTCCAGCTGCCACTTTCCCCCAAATCTTTGTGCCACAATAGATCTTACAATTATAAGCCACTTTCAGCACCAACTAGTAGTGGAACGGCAAGAGAGAAAAGTAATTCTTCTTCATCAGCAACATCAATCTAGAATTGCACCTGTGCAGAAATTACTGTCAGAGCAGCCAAATGTTAGCTCTTGTATGGAAGAGATTGTGTAACAAGGTATGATGTCCAATTCACAGCTGCCACAGCTGTAACTTTAAAACAACAGCTGTAATGAAGCCTGCATCTTTCCTGACTTACGTTTAAGAAAGATATGCCTGGTAAAATCTGCCTTGTCAAGAACATTTGGACTTTAAATTCTTCACAGTAGTACACTCCTGATGGTGTGGACATCCTGATCCATGAAAGCTTGCAAACTTTATGATTTTTTTAAGTTATCTGCAAAGGTACTGACAACTCTTGCATTTTATAATGACCACATGACTCCCTTTTATTTCAGTGCAATATGCCAGTTTACTGATTTTTGCCTAGAATTCATTATTCTTGTTGGGACCAACTAAAACTGGAGAGTTTGCTGAGCCTTTGATAACCTTGTAAGATGTGTCTCCTTCAATGTGAGCATTAGAGGAGAGAATAACCACCTTTTTTCCTTGATAACCTTGTAAGATGTGTCTCCTTCAGTGTGAGCATTAGAGGAGAGAAGAACCACCTTTTTTCCACTAAGGTTTCCACAATTGGTGCCTTTAGCATTCCAGTCCCCTAGAATGCTAAGGTTTCCACAATTGGTGTAAAATGTCTTAATGTTTTTCCCTTCTGTAAAGCTAAGCAGCAGATACAGTAACTCACAGCAAGTATAGAAGGATGGGCTCATTAATTGAAAAGAGAATGTCCAATTTAGCCCTTCACTTTTTGAAAACAAGGCAGCAGCTTTCATAGTTTTGTGCAATTAATAACTGAGCAATTTGCACAAAAATGTGTTCTTATACATGCAAGAGCTATAACTGACACTCCCTCCTCCCCAAAAATAAGATAAGCAAGGATTTATATTTCTAGGTAGGATGTAATAATATTTTGGCTGTTTAAACAAGGAAGAGTCCAAGTAAAATAATTCAGAATCAGAACAGTCTCATCCGCATTTAAGTATAAAATATTTAACAGATGTATGTGCTTGAAAATAGATGTGATTATACATTGTTTCTTCATAATTTTTTTAATTTCTAAGGGCTGGTTTTCTTCCAAAGGTTTTTTTTTGGGTGGGTGGGTGGAGGGATATAATTATGAAGGTTTGATTTCCAGTTTTTAATTGAATCTTGTCATGATGATTATTATTTTAATATCATGCTGGAGGCTTGACAGGTATTTTGTCACTCAAAGCTCCTATGATTAAAATTTGCAAAGGGAGCAACTGTAATGTCATAAACAATTTAAACATCCATGTGAAAACAAAATTAGCAGGCCTTCTGCATTTTCATTTTCATTTTTTCATTCTTTCAACTTGACTATTCTGCCTCTTTGGAAGAAAACATAAGTGGGAAAGAATTTGAGTACAAATCTCTGTCTGAGTACTATCTTTGGATATAAGAAATTTGCCTTCTAGTAAGGCCTTGGTACATTTTTCTTACATTCATAATGCTGCTTCATGAATGTTGGCCCCTGCAGTTTGCAATTTCTTCATAGGAATACATACAACCCATTCCATAACCAGGAACTGACTAGCAATGGAACAGCACCCTCTCCCATGCCTGAAGGCAGCAGCCCAGGTTGGTGGAAAAGGAGGGTAGCACCCATAGCTCTGTCATCCAATGGAAGGAAAGGGCCAGGGGGTTCAAAAGGAACAATCCATGGAACTTTTGATGTGACCTGTGTTGCATCTGCTGCCTGTGGTGTTTCATTCACTTTGTCCCAAAAACCCCTTGATCACCAGGGGTGATCTGTAGTTTTTGGACATACTTGGTTTTTAAGCAATCTTCTAATGGTGTTTCCTGATGACATATTTTGGTGCTATGCTAGGAAGGTTAGAAGAAGGTTTATCTCAGTTTAATACTGTTTGGCTCCACTGCCTGCTTGCATATGTGATGGTGCTTCTGTTAAAACCTTTTTTCACAATGTGGAGACATTGAACTCTTCATTTTGATTTGATCTTTGCACTTCTGATATTTCAGAGAGTTTACTCAGTGCTCCTTGATTATCTCCAGGGTTCATAAGGCTATTGGATGACATTTTCTGTTTCCCACCGTATTTTTCCCTAAGCATAGCAGTCATTTTAACCCAGATGCTGACATAACCCCAACAAGATGGTATCAAGTTGAGTGCAATTCAATCACCATATTGCCAAAGGTAGCTTAGTGTTTCTAGGATACACCTTGTTCAGCAGGTGGCATGAAGGTAATGCCTGAGCATCTGCAGTCTGTTTCTTCATTGCTATTGCTAATTAATTGTTAATGGTTTATGGCCATCCTTTGGCTTAGCCAGGTACGCAGATGCTTCAACACAGTTCTTTCAGCTTGCTTGCTGAAACTACATATTATAGGAGTGATCCTACTATGGGCGAACAAAGGCTGTGGACCACCAAGCCCTAGTATGCTAACATTAGGGCAACACATAGAGAAGAGGGCAGGGGGGAAAGAACTCATACATATAATGTAAGAGAAGAGGGCAGGGGGGAAAGAACTCATCTGGGCCACCATGCATATAATGTGCAGTTCAAATTATCTGGTCACTAAGGTTAGATACAAAAGGAGAGAGACTATTGCAACCCAGCCTGATACTGTCTCATGTCTGGCCCCATAGAATATTGTTTTTCTTCCTTTCTTTTTTGACTGTTAAGTCATATTAACTGTTACTTAATAATAGCAGTGATTGCATGTCCATAATTAGATTATGAATTATGGGAATTCGCCTTGGGGTTTTCTAGATATGAAATGTTCAGATGTGATTTACTGGTCCCTTCTTCTGTGGATGCTTTGGGACCATGGAGCATGCCCAAGGCTACACAGGCTTGCTGTTCTCCTGAGAGGCACAGTAGAGAATTGAACTTCAGGACTCCAGCTAGTAAATGTGTTCTAACAGCTGCTCAGTTGTTCATATATTGTACAGTTCCTACAACACTCCAATGATGCATTTACTCCCCTTCACCCCTTCAGTTTGCTCCTTGCTATATTTTAAGTAGGCATGGAAAAAGGTAAAGGTAAAGGTTCCCCTTGACAATTTTTGTCCAGTCGTGTTCGACTCTAGGGGGCGGTGCTCATCTCCATTTCCAAGCCATAGAGCCAGCGTTTGTCTGAAGACAATCTTCCGTGGTCACATGGCCAGTGCGATTCAGACACGGAACGCTGTTACCTTCCCACCAAGGTGGTCCCTATTGATCTACTTGCATTTGCATGCTTTCGAACCGCTAGGTTGGCGGGAGCTGGGACAAGCGATGGGCGCTCACTCCGTCGCGTGGATTCGATCTTACGGCTGCTGGTCTTCTGACCCTGCAGCACAGGTTTCTGCGGTTTAGGCATGTACTTTAGACAAATACGTAGAAATAGACTGAATCAAGATTATTTATGAATGTCCAGGACAATTAGAAGGTAGAGCAAGAAGCAGCTAGTAAATGTGTTCTAACAGCTGCTCAGTTGTTCATATACTGTACAGTTCCTACAACTGCTCTTTACTCTGTCCCCACCCCCAACTATACTGCAATGGATCCTTCATATCCCATCCAGCACTCATAGAGTTAAAAAGATTGCCAAAATTTTGAGTTAAGAAAAGGAGAAGTAAAAAGTAGTGCAGTAGGTTTCTGCTCCGGTGACAAAGAAGAAGGCAAAGCTGAGGCCCACAACAAAGCCTAAGATGTCCCCTGGACTTCTCAATCACTGAGGTGCTGGGGGGGGGACATACATACTGAAGCCAACATATGGCGACTTCTCAATCACTGAGGTGCTGGGGGGGACACACATACTGAAGCCAACATATGGATGTGGGACAGAATGGATTGGAATATCACCTAAAAGGTACAGGGTAGGTTGACCTGGATCTGTATGCCCTTTCCCCCCTAAAGGGCAGGAAGAAGAGCTTCCACTCATCCTTCATTAGAAGTGTTTTCTACAAGTACATAACACTTTCTGTGCTGACTTTTGCATATTTGTAGAACTGCAGGTAACACCATAAGGGGCTTTCTTTGGCAGTTCTATATATGTTACTGTGCTCTGGAATCACTACAGTTGTAGCTGTTGCAATTTTAACTGCGAGGATAGGTTCTATTAACAGACATAGATCATATGAAAAACAGATGTGATGCTCAGTTTGGGGCCTGGAAAAAATATATCTTGGTGCAGTAGTACAGACTGTAAGGTGTATAGCTGTTTGTAAATAGGAAAATTGGGTGACACGTTCAGGTTGGGCTGCAAATGCCATCCTCCTCCTCCATTATTGGATATGCTGGCTAAGGCTGATGGGATTTGTTATCTAGCCATATCTGGAGAGTAACATGTTGGTCACCTCTGGCTTAAAGAATGGTTATTGTGATGTTAGTCTTCCCTCAAGATGTCATAGCTGATATAGGACCTTGTTCTGTGGGATAAGCTTTGTTCTGTGGGAACTAGCAGACACAGTTGGCCACCATGAAGGGGGCAAGGAAAATTGCTAGGGCAGTCTGACGTTCTTGGGTAATTCATATCCATGTCATAGTAGAACAGTCATGTTGTGCATGCACAGTGTTGAAGAGCCAGTCCCTGAAATGTACCATTGAAAGGACCAGATGAAACCTTTGCCTCAGACACTAACAAGCTACTACCAGTTGTAAAATACAGTAATGAGCTAGCTAGTGAGGTAGATCATCTAACCTAGTGTAAAGGAGATCCATCTCAAGGACATGTTCCAAGTAGTTTCTGCCCTGTACCCAAAGGAAAACAATGGCAACTCTTGCATTGGATCTGGATAGGGCGGAGTTAGAATGTTCACTGGCTCTGGATGGCACTCTGCCTCTTTAAAAAGACACAGACAAACAAGTTGAACCTTTCAATGTGTCCATATGACTTCAGAGTTATTGCTTGTGCTAGAGATTCTCCTGGGGTGTTGTTTCCTCCTAGAGCAATCCAGAAGCATCCAGCTAAAGACAGTGGAAATGACAGAGATATGGCATTTGGATTGCATTTTAGCTCTTTTCAGGCATCCAAGAAAAAGTTAATTAGAATACTTGTGGAGGAAGAATATTGTAGCCCTGCCACCTGCTTGTCACTCTCATCACACAGAGTCAGGGATGGATGTGAAAAGTATCTGTTGAATGTGGAGTCTTTCACACATCCCCATTCATGTGGAGGGACTCCTGAGGTAGCAGAGCCTTTCCTCTTCAGCCTATTGCTCTCTGTGGGAACAGACCCACAGGAAAAGGAACTCTCTGCTCGCATCTTAAGATTAACCTTCTCTGTGGGAACAGACCCACAGGAAAAGGTGGGTCTAGAACTCTCTGCTTGCATCTTAAGATTAACCCCTTCCCAACCATCTAAAGAAGGCTTTAAGGCAAACGTTGAACACATCTGAGCATCTGTATTCTATTGCCGTTGCTGCCCATTTGCTTTCTTGAATTTTTATTTATTTCCCTAGAATTTGTAACTCAGATGCTCATGTTGAGCAGGTGATGGAAACACTGTGAATAATTAGGCCTTCCAGTGGTGAATCCACATGGAAATAAATTATCATTTAAGCTTTCTTCATCTCCCTCTTTTCTCCCCTCTTTGTCCCACAGGGTGCCCTGACAATTCTGCCGATTCAAAATGTTTAAATCCCATTACGGCTTTTCAAGGCTGCATGAGACTCATCTTTATTGATAACCAGCCCAAGGACCTCATTTTAGTTCAGCAAGGTTCCCTGGGGAATTTTAGTGATCTGCGTATTGATCTCTGTGGCATCAAAGACAGGTAATTATTCTTTCTCTTTTTCAGGTGTTTTGTTTTCTTTCAGCCAAGTGGCTCATGAGTGTAGTTCTCTATATGTGAACAATCTAATCCGCCAACATCAATGATATTACAATTAATAGAACTACTGATCAGAAGTATTACTGTGAAAATCCAGGAAATGATAATGTGGGCTAGACTCTCTCTCTCTCTCCATGTCCATTTGTGGGATATAGAGTATGCAAATTAAATCAAACTGCAGATTTGTGCACAGATTAGGTTTTACGCCCAGGCTGCCTTTGATGGCTTTCAAATTTTAAAGTGATGTAAAAGGAAAGGAAATGTCATTTCAGTCATCTATTTAATGCAATCGTTTTGTTTAAGCATATCTGTTCCAGACTGCATGTTGTATGGTACCACAATTTTTTTTTGTTACTCTAGGCAAAATAATGAAATACTTACATTGTAGAAATTAAGGATGTGTATTGACCCCATTGACCAGGTCCATGCTTGACCTGGTCCATACATGTAGATTAGTGTTTGGCCTATGGTGTGTCCTTTCAGTGATACTCCAAACCAACCCTTGTCCATGGTGATGTCAGGGCAGAAGGTCAGAGCTTGGAATACCTTGCCTAAGAATTGTGTAACCTTAATAGACTTTAAAGAAAAATCAGAAGCCTGTTTTTGTCCCAGCTGACTATAGCCATCCTGAGCAGAACCCTATCTAGTAACAGCACATCTTTGTAATTTGGGGGCTGAAGTAGAACCTGGGGATTCTACAGGCCTTACCAGATGAGTTCACATAAGAGATGTCAAGAAATACACACCTACCAGCTCATCTACAGACACCACTTCCAGATAATGTCTCATTAAAACTCTCAACAAATACACATTATTTATATGTTTCCAGAACTCCATGGAAACTCCGTTCTCATGAATGTGAAAACACAAATGGCTTTTAAAACTTGCAAGGGAAGAAAGGCAATATTGTGCCATTAATGTCAGGGATGTGAAAGACCTTAAATATACAGAGAAGAATACGCAAGTGGCTTTTACTTTGGTCCACTGGCACCCTTTGAGCAACACTGCAAAGCCCAGTAAACAGAAAGATAGAAGATAGGCAGACCCAAACACTTCAATGGGACCTAGCTAATCAACATTCATGGGGGGGGGAAAGCCAGCTTTCATTCACGATTTCACACACTCCCATTTAGCAGTAAAAACACCATTACACTGAGCTGGAAAATAATTGAAAATAAAAACGATAGCTATATACCACCTGGTGAGTCCTCAGATAGAGTGTCCATAAGAGGTCTCAGATGTTGCGGGCAAAGCTGATTGAAGTATCACACTTCTTTTCCCTGGGTACTCTTGAATACAGCTGTTCGTATGTTGAAATAAATAAATAAATAAACAAATAATCATCTCCACAAATACTAAACTGAGCATGAAAGATCAGGGGTGAGGTTGTGTCCCTTAGGCCTACATGTGCTCCACTCCATGATTGCTCACAGATTATGCCAATAAAAGAAGTTTAAGAATAATCTTGATCATCAGTATGTTATACTAACCCAGGGATCCTCTTTATTCCCTACTACAAGTTTGTAAATTATTATTCATCTAAATACTGGTAGTGAGGAAGAATTATCTTCATGTGACTAAACGGAAGCTTGATGCTTATTTTTTATTTCAGGTCACAGATGGCTAAGATAATGATGCCTGGCAGGTGGACTAAACACGTTTGTGAGCTAGACTGATTTGCTAGTGTGCAATATTTCTAAGAAACTAATGCATGTTGGCTTCAATGTTTTTAGTAAAGGTCGGGGAAGGTCACTTCTTGAATCTATGCTCTAAAATTTGACCTCATAAAATAATTACTGGGTTTTTCACACCAACCTTTTTAATTTTAGTTTAAGTCTTTAGTTTATTCATTTAGAGGTGGATACAGTGGTTGTGATATAAAGGAGAGAGAGTTTTAAGAGTTTCTGTAAAGTTATTGCTGCCATATTCTGGAAGGAAGCAAAGATGAAGTAATTAGAATAAACTAGGTCACAGCTTCATGGAAGATCTAAAATAGGCCACTAAATCAATTAACCTGACTAGTGATGAACTTTTCAAAAGTGTTCTTTTTACTTCTTCTGGTCTTTGTCAGAGAAACACAAACCTTGGGGTTTAAAGTTCAGAAAAATCAAATGCAAGACCTTCACATTTGTTACTCCTCTACCTACATCACAAAAGCTTCTGAAAAACCCTCTCCTCCCCTCTTCTTCCTGTGCTCTGCAATGTTCATTTTCACCTCTGACACCTGGAGATGCTTGGATTTTCATCCAAGCCAGATAAGAGAATTAAGAAGTTGTAGCACCGGGCTACATTCAGGATCACACACCTCTCAAGTATTTATTTCTGAACCAGGAAATATAACACTTGTTAGCATGACCAAACTTGGCCTCAGAGCTGGTGGATGGGTATGCATCTCCAAAACAGCCCTCATAACTGCTATCACTTTTGCTGGGAGATAATGGTACTGATTATCAAGAAAGTGTGGCCTTAAGGTCAATGGTTTCACATCTTAGTTGGTGTTATCTCATGATTTCCAGAATTCCAGAGCCCTCATGGCCAGTGGTAGCCATACTGCCTGAGGGATTACAGGAATTTTATTTTTTTGAAGGATTTTTTTTAAAAAAATATTTTTGGCAAAGTCTCTTATAGCCTAGCCATGGCCTTGGCAAACCAAAATGAGGCCACCAAACACAAGGAATGGCTATTCTCATAGCATTCATTCTAGTTTACGAATGGTAAAACTTTATAGTTTGTAAAAGAAGGCTGATAAGCAGCAAGGTGATCCTTTTGCATATGGAGAAGAATTTCAGTATATTTTCCCTGCTTTTGACTTTCATGTTCAAAGTTGACAAACTGGTTATGGAACTCACAAACTTTTTGTGTTATACACATCAGGGTTGTGTCACATATTAGTTGTTTTAGCATATAAATATAGGGTAACAGTTGACAGTGCTGCCATCAATTGTGGATTCATGAGTTATGCATGTTCTTCTATTTCAGTGGTTCCTTTGAACCGAAATGCATACAAACACATTGTCTTTTATGTATATTACATTTTAATGGGCATATACTTAGGCAAAATGTTACATGAGAAACACCCTCCGTAGAATTGTTGAAGGGGATCAAGCTATTAAAACAGAAAGTGCAATTGCTGAAGCTCCCTGTTGTAGCTGTGAGTCTGGGGTGGGCAATTTCCAGAGGTGTGGGATATGCACACTCCTATTCCCTTTACCTTGGAGGGCATACATCTGCTTCTATGATCCCATCTCCCCACCCCAAATTCTTTCTTTTTTAAAAAAGTAGAAATTCCCTTTGAGCTGTTTACTAAGCAACAACAACAAAAATGCAACAACCTCCCCCCCCCAAAAAAAAGAGCATGTCATGGACTTTGCCAAAGTCTTCTCAAATATGACAATGTTGCCTCTATGTATCCTAGAGGGTTCAAGATGTTATTATAATCCAATAACGTTTTGAATGTCATAGTGCTGAAAAACCTCAGTTTGGCCCCTGGGGCTCATAGTCATTGTGTTCCCAACAACAAAAATGCAACAACCTCCCCCCCCCAAAAAAAAGAGCATGTCATGGACTTTGCCAAAGTCTTCTCAAATATGACAATGTTGCCTCTATGTATCCTAGAGGGTTCAAGATGTTATTATAATCCAATAACGTTTTGAATGTCATAGTGCTGAAAAACCTCAGTTTGGCCCCTGGGGCTCATAGTCATTGTGTTCCCATAAGGTATCCCCCCCCCCCAAAAAAAAGAGCATGTCATGGACTTTGCCAAAGTCTTCTCAAATATGACAATGTTGCCTCTATGTATCCTAGAGGGTTCAAGATGTTATTATAATCCAATAACGTTTTGAATGTCATAGTGCTGAAAAACCTCAGTTTGGCCCCTGGGGCTCATAGTCATACCCCTCCTCTAAGGTATCTAAAGCCAGTCATAGGTTTAGGGCTCCAGATAGTCTTAGACTACATCTCCCAGAAGCCTTCACCACCACCTCTGTTGGCCAGGATTTCTGGGAGTTGAAGTCCAAGAACATCTGGAGGCCCAAGGTTGGGGACCACTGCTCTAAGGTATCTAAAGCCAATCATAGGTTTAGGATACAGATGTGAATCACACAACCTTTCACTCTCACACAGAAATGAATGGGGGAGAGGGGAATTACTCTTTGATCCTCACAGTAAGATTTCCATGTGAGTCCTCCCTCTCTTTGATGAAATGTAGTGGAATTTCATAGTCATAGGTTTAGGGTACAGATGTGAATCACACAACCTTTCACTCTCACACAGAAATGAATGGGGGAGAGGGGAATCACTCTTTGATCCTCACAGTAAGATTTCTATGTGGGTCCTCCCTCTCCTTGATGAAATCTAGTGGAATTTCTCAGCATTTTCATGGCAAAATTGAAAATTGCATCAAGCTAATCTTGCCTCCAAGAATGGGTGCATTTCCAATATGTGCAACATTTGCATGAAACATGTCCCACCAATGTATCTACATCAATCCATTAATGTTTCTTAAGAAAGATATCTGCACAAGAGTTTATATTTCCATATGTTCTTATCTTACATATTTGCCTTCTTTCTCAAAATACGAACTTTTCAATGTATTTGATCTAAAAAAAATTAGTATATGTATTTGGTTTGTGGGTGGGTGTTTTAGCTGAGCTGCAGAAACTTCGTCAAGTCAAATAATTCACTGGACAGCTACTTTGTGATCTGGACGTTAGTCTGAGAGGTTAAGTTCAGATCGATGCAACCCAAAATTTGTCATGACTAAATTCGTCAATTCCTTCTATTCTGCTTTAGGATGTCTTGGGATGTAGACTTTTTCAAGCCACATAAATATAAGCTTCAGCATCACCTAGCAAAGATGCAGAAGCCTGTACAAGTAAGGCCATCTTATTCTTAAGGCTGATTAGGCTGAAGCCCAAGGACCCCACAGGGGCTAGAGGCCAGTC